TATGTTGTTATAAAGTTACAAAGACAAAGAGAGAGCTAAGTGTTTGACTTGTTGATTTAACGATGGTCGTAGCCATTTGATATGCATCGCTTCTTTGATCTTAATTTTGTATTCTGTATTATCAGAATCGATAATAGAAAAGCATTCATTATTCACATTCTCTCCGCATTTAGTGTTATGTATGTGCTTATACACGTGTGAGGATTTATCTCCAAATAAATGTTCTTTCCTGCGTGTTTTGAAATGTCTAATCGTTTGACCGACATAGCAAGCATTACAGCTTGCACAACAGAATTTATAAACAACGCAGGACTTCAATTCCTTGGGGATAGGATCTTTCGCAGTGAATAAACTACCTATCTTAAATGTGGTAAAGGCTAACTTGATGTTAATGTTCTTGCAGTACTGTTTAACTAGTCTATCTAGTTTAATTTGTGCTATCTTCGAAAAATGACCGATATACGGAAGTTTGTAATATCTGGTTTCCTGGTCTACTTTTTGAGTGTCAGGTCTAGCTATAAAGATGTTATTTAGATAATTTTCAATACATTTGTCGATCAGAAGCGATGGAAATAAATTTCTCTGAAGGATGTCTTTGAGATTTTTAAGATCTTCATTAAAGCGTATCCATGTGTTATTAATCTTATAGACGCGATCTATTAAAGTGCGTATCAAGCCTTTCTTGTATGCTATCGGAGAAAAACTAGTAAAGTTGTTAAATAGTCCCATAAACGTAGGTTTACGGAAAATTGAAGTTACGTTTTGCTCTCTTGAGTTGTCAATCCGTATATCAAGAAAAGGTAAGGTATTATTTGTTTATGACGAGCTTTAGCTAACTCAGGAATGTAGTGTACCCGCGGTTTTCGCACGCTCAATGTCCCACCCCCGTCGAGCGTTCTGTAGAGATTGTATGAGAGGTGTTGACATATATTTAACAAACAGTATTTTGTATCTATATAATCCTTTGTTTGAATAGCTTGAAAACAGCCCGTAGTTCACTCGCTGGCTTCGATTCGTGAATGACCGTGAATATAATTTACATTCTCAGGCTAGTGTTTGAAATAAAAACAATAAAAATGTCTAAGGCTATTCGTTTCATGAAAACATTTGGACAGTTTATTACGAAGTCTCGTATTGCTAAGAGGTTGAAAAACTATTTCTACGGACCTCTACGTCTATTCGTTTCGATTACACTGGAGATAAACCAAACATTTGTTGAACATTTTATTATAAATTATCTAAATGTTGCTATAAGCCTGAAAACCTATTTCTACGGACCTCTACGGCTATTCGCTTCGATAACACATATCCGTTGAACAGCTAATAATAAAGTCTCGTAGAATTGCTAAGAGGTTGAAAAACTATTTCTATACGTACTTCTGAATTGACTTGTACTAAAAAAATAAAGTGTATATAGGTGTATAATTTATACTAATTGCACTAAAGTGCATTTCACGGGTTAATGGAAAACACTCCAATTAATATAAGTCCTGAATAAATTTTAAGTCATAGATGCCTACAATATTGTAGCTACGGCTAGAGATATCTTACTTTCAGATAGAAACGTCAATTCTAATACATATTATAATTAGAATTGACAACCCAAGAAAGTCAAAAAATATAGTAAAACTTTATCGTTTACTTCCAGATAACAACAATTCTATTAGAACTGACTACCCAAGAAAGTCAAAAAATATAGTAAAACTATATCTCTTACTTCCAGATAACAACAATTCTATTAGAACTGACTACCCAAGAAAGTCAAAAAATATAGTAAAACTATATCTCTTACTTCCAGATAACGACAATTCTATTAGAACTGACTACCCAAGGAAGGCAAAATAAAGCAAAACTATATCTCTTCAGACTTCCAGATAACAACAATTCTATAGGAAAATTCATTGGATGACGAGGGAATTCCGCAATGAATTTCACGAGAAAAACGGTATCGCACGAGTCGCGATACCAACTCATACCAACACATTATTTACAATTGGAAAATTTTTCGACAACGTGAACCTCGTCACGCGCCCTTTCGGAAGCCATTTCGTAGGTGACTATATGATTAGCCAATAGGAAACGATCACAAATTTATCTGTTAGTGAACGTTTCATCATTTCATTCACTAAGTTAGTTGGTAAGTTTACTGTTTTTCAATCCGGTGTTAACAAAACGTCTTATTTACTACGGCTAGAAAGCTAATTATGGACTGTTGGCGATAAAAATCGATGTATTTTACATCACACTATCGAAAACAAGCGAAGATATGTTATTCGTTGTGATTATAGCTGGTCAAAAGGGGATCCTCAAGCGAAGAAAATACACTGAAAAATACTACAATACATTTGTATTTGCAAGTAGTTGGTTTTAAAATGATTACTACATAAGCTTATAGGTAAGTAGTAAGCGATAATTGTTGTTTTCTTCGGCCATGGCGGTGTTTTCCGACGTTTGTTGTTGTTTTTTATCGAGACGACGTCGCCTTGTAGAGGCAAGTGAAAGATGTTTTTTGCGGCTCTTTTCGATGTTGAATAAATTGACTTCGAAGTTTGGTATTTCGTATTCCCCCTCTGGTTGTTTCGGAAATTTGAAACTGGACATGTGAAATAACAGTAGCTTAAAAAGCGAAGCGAGTAAAAAACAACAAAGCGCGGGCTTCCTGACTTTTCATTGAATTCAGCTTTTCAATTCGCTAACAAATATTGGTCGTTTTTATAGAACAGCGATATTATAACAAATCCTGTATATCATTTTTGATTTCTCTATGAAAAGAGCTTCTATTCTTGTTACTTTAAATTGTTATTTGTGAACATATGGAACTTATGGGGGACAAATAGTCCGTGGTCACTCAAGCTTGACCTGACAGTCCGTATGAAGTGCCAAATTTGACGAAAAAAGGCCAGATTTCAAGGCTTTTTGAAGAAATGCGGCGACATTAAAAACAATCCTAAAAACCTAGCACCGGATTTAAGAAATAAAATCTATATGCGACCTTTCTGGGTATTTTTCATGAGAAAATTCGAAAATCCAATCACGTATTTTTGCCCTTGAAGAGTTGAGGTTGAGCATTAAAATAGTATGGCGATCCATGTTTTCACCACAGTTCGCTCCAAAAAACTGGGCCTCGCGCATAACTTATTTTGTTAATAAAAAACCTAGCACCGGATTTAAGAAATAAAATGTATGTGTGACATTGCTGTGTATTTTTCGTGAGAAAATTTAAAAATCAAATTACGTATTTTCGCCTTTGAAGAGTTGGCGTTGCTTCGCATCCGTTTGCGTTTCGGGATTCCTGTCCCGACGATAAACGGATGCAAAGGAGACTACTTCTGTAGGCACAAGCAACAAAAATCAAACTTGAATTTTTCAAATTATTGCTTTCTTATTATATGTTGAAAATGTACTCAAACTATGCAGTTTTGTGTTAATTCAATATTTGAAAAATTTATATCAGTCAGTGAACGTACTGTGATATTATATGTACATGTACTTTCCTTTCTAGAGGTGACTTTGCTATTAATAGTATTTTATGGTCAGATGATGATGTTAATGAGGTCGATCGACGACAAAATATTAATTAACTCCATTGTATTATATTTCACGAAGTAAATAAATAAATTACATGCATATATACATGCATGCATGGATGCATGAGTGAGCCTGGACAATAATCCAAGGAAATGTCACCCGATGTATGGCAATAAGTTCCATATGGAAATGGAAAGAAAATACGACAAAATCGAAATTCAATCGCGCGGGATCCCTGATTTTTCATTGAATTCAGCTTTGAAGCGTTGGATTCCGCGCTGAATCCTTCACTATGTACGTCACATTTTCGTCATCTCGGACCAATCAGCGCGCGATTTAATTATGTGATATGAGATTCTATTTAGAACGGACTACCCAAGGAAGGCAAAATAAAGCAAAACTATATCTCTTACTTCCAGATAACAACAATTCTATTAGAACTGACTACCCAAGAAAGTCAAAAAATAAAGCAAAACTATATCTCTTACTTCCAGATAACAACAATTCTATTAGAACTGACTACCCAAGGAAGGTAAAATATAAATTTCCAAACTAACCGGGAAAGGCGAATTTAAACAATGATAATTTTAGCAAAAAGTTACAATGTGAGCAGAAAAAAAATTCTTGGCGTCAAGCTATTTCACGATACAGATATGATGATATTATAAATAATAAACAGTAATTATGAGAATAACCTACGATATTATAAATGTACTTCGTGCAATTTTTACTCGTGACCAGGCCCTTGGCCGGGCACGAGTCATAAAATGCAACGCGTTTAGTTTTTTTTTTTTTTTTCCAAGTCAGAAGTTTGCCTTCGGGTCTCCCGACCGCCCTCCGATCTATAACGAAATATCACATTACGAACTCGGCTGTAAACAATCGTGTAATAGAACAGTTAACTGCCCGGGAGCTGTAGCTTTTATAGTAATTMTTTGATATTCGAGGCCTTTTGTTATTCCAAGACATTCATCTGTGTCGAAGCATATTTTATGACATTGGTTTAGGTCACCAAGGTTGGTGTATCGAGCCAAATAGTGCATTTTCCTTGGCGAGATGCCAAAACCGATCGTAGGCTAAGTGAAGCCGCAACGTGGCTGTTTGATTCTGAGTTGCATAGCCTAAATTTTCAATTTGATGAGGAATTCTGTCTCTTCAGGATTAAAGAAAACAATGCTATTCACGCGGGAGTATTCCTAGATGACTATTGAAGCGATTATGGTTTTATAGAGCGGATAACCATCTTGTTGAGATCGTTAGCACGGCGCGAACTATCGCCGACACTTCGAAAATTGTCTGATTTTCAGGATATTGTGGTTTAATACTTAACCTTTAAATTACTACAAYAAGAATAAGTCTATCCATATTTTTACTTTGTTTGACATGAAAGATTATCGGATTGAACGATTTCAGTCACGTCTGCATTCCTTGCGTGATGTCTACCGTGTAGATTTGTCATCTAGCTCCTTCAACGCAGCTAAATATAGGCGAACAAGTGAAAAGTTTTAAATGAGCTCAATTTGAAAAAGTACTGAATAAGCTAGCACTTTTCAACACCTTTAGGTCACGAGTACACCCTGCTGGCAGGGTCTAGTTTAACAAGTACTGCCAACGGCGGGCGACTTAAAGGATTGCTGCTCACAGACAGCTTCTTGATCTCGTCCAGATTGGTCGAACAATGTCGAAGAAGGAGCCTCGCCATTTTCCCCGCCACAAGTCCGATCTACTGATCTTGCGTATTTGGCCAGGGAAATGGGTAAAAATCTTATTGGACGCAAATCGATTTGGCTTTAAACCACATAGTGAGGTAGAGAGTGGATACCATGAAGTGTTGGGGTCGAGAAATGTGCTAAAAACTTCGACCAACGCCATAAATTGCCTCAAACACGCGAGCACTCGTCCGCCATGACAAGATGTAAACTCGAGTGAAGCGCGCCAAATGTGACGTCAATTTCATAATAATCGTTTCAAATTTCTATTAACTATTAACTACTCTACTTCTTTTATGATTCGAGATTAGTGCTGTGCAGTCAATCAATACCGACAGTGACGACATATAAACATCAACAGTAAACCACGATCCGGATATGATTTGACTGCTAAGTGGATTAATACCATAGAAAGACTAAATCTCTGTAGACTTCATGCGGCGCATTCCTGAGTTAGGTAAAGCTCCTCAAGAAGGCTTCTTTGGTATACTTAATGCTAGAATGTTGCCCATTGATGTATTGAAAAAATTGGTCAACATCTTGTTTGCTATTAAAGAGGCAAAAAGTATCGTCCACATATCTTCGGTAAAATAAAACAGGAGGACCCTTGTAATCATCTAGCCAATTTTTTTCTTTCTTTTTTTCATGGTGTCCCATGAATAAATTAGCCAGGATCGGAGCAAGAGGTGAGCCCATGGCCACACCATCGACTTGCTCATAAAAGTTACCCTTAAATAGAAAATGTGTACCCGTTGTAGCAAGCTTGAACAAATCCCTGAGATCTTTGTGAGTTAATTTAAGGTTCGGGTTACCATCCTTTGTGTATTTTACCGCTAGATCAATGCATTCCTCTAAAGGTATGTTAGTAAACAAACTAACGATATCAAACGAGACCATGAACCGGTTGTTAGTATCTAAAGCATTAATTTCTTTGACAAAGCTAAACGAGTCATGGACGCTGTATTCTGAAGGAATATGAGGTGTGAGTAGCTCACTTAAATATTTAGCTAACATAATTATAGCTGCCTATGCACGAGATAATTGGTCGAAACGGTGGAAGAGAGTTTTCATCTCTCGGTTTGTGCATTTTAGGAAGGCCATAAATACGTGCTGGYTGTGAACCACAGGGATAAATACGCTCGTAAGTTACCTGATCTAACTGTCCTCTACGTCTAAAGTCTCGTAAAGTTCTTTGAAGTTTGTTTTCGCGCGAGATAGTTGGATAATCGTGTTATATCAATAAAGGTGCCTTATTAAAAAAGCTTCCGGAAGTTCTTAATCGATTCTTCCTTACGTCCAAGTGAAAAATAAAGTATCCATTTGTGCTGAAGTTTCAGGCTAATGTATATAGGTTTTCCTTCAAGTAGCTGGCTATCAATTCCATAGGATTTACTATTTGATAGTTCCTCAGTGCCAAACACGTACTGCTATTTTTTTTGATAGAAATGTCACAATGTTTTTATAGTTCCCGTAATTGAAATAAATACCCAGTTTGGTATGGGATATTTTGATGGGATACAACTTTTTGTTCAGGATCATTTTCAGTCCCTTTTTAAATCTTTAAGTGGCACAATCTTACAGGAACCATGATACTTTGATACTTGATATTTACACTGACATCCAACACAGGTGCATCCACCCGGGTCTGTGGAGGAGGATCATAGCGGGTCTGTTGAGGGTTGATGAACTGTACTTTGCCCAGTAAGTACAAAATGTATAAAATTGACTGAACATAGCTACTGACAAAAATATGAAAGGCGAGATGGAAAGACAAAATATCAAAAAACAAAGAAAAATTCATAAGATTATGGTCTGTATTTAGTCCAAGGAAAATCCTCAGTTACTCTATCTATTTAGCGTATGATACATGGATCTAAACTGCCTACTTTGAATTTCTGTCGTTGTTGCCCTCGAAGAACCCGTTGCCGATCATAAATAAATTAGTGCGTTTTGCTTTCGGTTTTCTTTTTTTTTTCTATGAAATCTAAGATTTTATTTTCCAATTAAAGTGACAATTTATGTTCTAATTCCGAAATCTTGATATTACTCCTTTAAGCACTTTAAGTACAACCATTTAAGTAAACATTCATCAACGTTTTTAACAGATTGCGGTGATTATAACACGGTAGACAAAACGGCGCAGATTTGACGGTTTTTATAAATATCCATGTTTAAGTGCGGCCTTTTAAAGACATATTAATAATACTAGTATGTTGGTCATAAAAAAAAGATCGTGATGAATTATTATCAGCACTTTCATGATTCAATTTTCGCCAGTATTCATTAGAGCGGATTTCGTATGACTGTGCAACGACACGGATCACAACACGGACACGGCTTGACGGCACGGTCACGAACCTCACTATCTAGGATTCCAAATAAAAATGAAGATTTAACAATACATCACCGCTCCGGCATACGAAATCCGCTCTATTAATTCCTGACCTGAAGGTCGGGCCTTACCAAGGCTGATAAAGGGGAGGTGATGAGGGTGGCTACCTACTACCACCTTGATAGGTCTAAAAAATAAAGAAATACAAATTATGACAAATTAAAAATCTCACTTTTCGCAAACCGAAATCTATCCATTTGATATTCTTTCTTGTTTTTGTTTGTTGAGTTGTGACCTCATGGTTTATATGAGCATTTGGGTTTTGATGGCTAGTAGTAAGTTAGTTTAATTGTTTGATCCGGGAATTTTCAAAATTGCTTCGTCCACTTTTTCTTGCTTTGATGTTGTTTGAATTCGTATTATTTACTTAAGTTATTAAAAGATTTAAAAACGGAACGGATGTAGAAGTAAAGCCTGTTTTTTACTTGGAAATATGCAGTAAGCCAAGAACAAAAGAAAAGACAAAGGAATGAAGCCAAGTGTGCGACATAAGACAACGACATAAACATAGCAATAAGCATCCGCCTTCTCAATCTCTTCTTAATTCTTCCTAATCCCGAAAGGGATTGTTTTTCACCCTTATGCTTATGGCGCCGTAAAAACTAAGTTTTCTTACTTAAGAATGTAGCAAAAGTCTTGTTGATTTGCGAGTGTTGATGCATATGCCGTGTTCTCAGTTTCAACAGTGAATGAGATGTTTTTCTGACTTGTATGGAATGAAGGATTTTTCAGGATCGTCTGGAGATCAGAGATTTTTTAGCAATGTGGATATCATGGTTATCAGTTGTGGTTTTTAGAAAAATCAAACTATCGATTTCTATCAGCCGTATCTTGGGTATATTATTTGTATTTATTTTAGATTATTGATGTTTTTTTATCCGATTAGCCGTGCGGTCGGTATGTCCTGGCGACTGTCGGTTAAGGTATTGAATAAGTACCAAAGGGCGTCTGTTCAATTACTGTTGAACCGAATTGTTTTGCTCCTGTGTAAGGATCAGACATAAAGTCTGTGTTTGTTTGATGTGCTTGCCACAAGGGTTTTGTATATCCGCAACCGGGTTTTCCTTCCAGAGTAAAAGACAAAACACACGCACACACGCAAACAAACTCCGCCATTTACTGTCGTTAGAACTGTCAGGGTATTAAATCTTGCAGATCACAGATCGTGAAAATAATTTACGCATAATTTTCCTTTACGCATATACGCACGTGCGTACTAGTGCCAAGGAAATATTAAGATTTTCGGGATTTTTTTAATATAATTGTCTTTGCTTTCTCGCAGCAAGGCTTCGTTATAAAAGAACCTGAGCTTGACATTTAAATGGTGGATTCTTTCTTTTCAAACCATGGTGGGGTTGTTTTCGTAGAATAAGTAGTATGCTGTTCCACAATCAATTACTGGCAGTGAGTATGCAGTGTTTATTTATTCATTAGAACTATAATAGCTAAGTCCATTGCGCTTTTAAAAGAATGGGGATTTATGGGTTTTAATGGAGAACATACTAAGCATGCTCACAACGCCATGTTTTTTATTAAAAAACATTCTCATGGTTTCTTTACCGATAGGACTCAAACCACTGCGTTTTTGACGGTTGTATTGGCAATACAACTGTTTAGGAAATGTATACAGGGCGGATATCCTTATATAAAGCGTGCCTTAGGAAGACAAAAAAAGCACAAAATGTCTGCACACCACAAGATGTTTGTAGAAAAGACATTTATTGATGATTACCAAACACTCATCGATATTTTATGAGTCTAACCGATTTTGATTAAGTTAAAGTTAATTGCAAAAGTCGATGACTTGTTTTTAGTTTCTTTTATGTTAGACCAGTGGGGGGTAGACTGCATGGCGGAACTATAATACACAGCGCCTGCGCACAAGACAACATCCTATTGGACAATATCAACATTGCCTCTGATGGTTATCCTTCCGAATGATCCAAGCCAATCTTCTTGTTTCTGACCTGTTGGCTTTTGCTGGTCTGGACGGTCTGAGCTCTCTTGCCTACTTAGACAAGTCTGTTTTCTAATATATACACGCAAATTGAAAAGAACTACTCACTGAGAGTGTAAATCGCGTATTGTAAGTATTGTAATAGAAAGCATTTCCTATATTTTCCTTACCATGAAATGTTTGACATCAAGAAACGTTAGTGATACTATCGCTTTAGTGCGATCCCGGTCATCACATATATAATATAATAATAATAATAATAATAATAATATAATAATATGTGGTATTTATATAGCGCCGATATCCTCTGAGTTCAAAGGCGCTTCACATGTATTTCACACGGACCGCTGTTTTAAGGCGCAATTGGCAGCCACGCGGCTTACAATCATGAGGGGTTAGTAATTAGTATGGGTTAGGAGTAAGGCCTAGCCACACACACCGGGAATCATTCCCTACTCTTATGCGAACAGTGGTGTGGGTTCTTTAACATCCCTCTAATACAGGTTAGTGAGTGAAGTGTAGAGAGATAATATACACAAAACCCCAAGGATGAATGGAAATATAATATTACTAGAAAAATGACTGAAAATATCCAGCGTACACACCATAGAAAAGCGATTTCGATTTGTTAATAATTAGAACGTCGTCTTTCTTTTACAAGGTTTCAATTTACTACAGAAGGGAAGTATGATCGTATATGTCACTGTTCAAACTGTGTCTCAAACGTTCGTTATGCATATATGATAGACGGTACCCTGGGCAGTTTTTGGAATTCGGTCTATTTCCATTATAAGAACGTCAATCAACTGCTAGACAAAATGCATTTTTCAAAGTGCGATATAAATTTATCACAATTTCAAATGGTTAATGAAAAAAGTCAAAAGCTAAATAAACACATCCTAAAGTATACTAAATATACCCGCGTTGCGTATTGAATGAGCTAGTTTCGACGGATCAAGCGACAGTTCTTCAAGGAGGATTACTGATAATATACAGGACACTGGCACCATATGGGGTATCTTTTTGGCTTCTAGTGTTAGGGCTGGCGTCATTAATCTTTCACTGTCTTCCAAGACGGAGCCTGCGATTATCTAGAACAAACATTTTATTGATCAAGTTGACTAATTGATACTCAAAGCCAAATCAAAGTACATTTTTTTTAAATAAAAAAAAAAAAAAAAAAAAAAAAAAAAAAAAGAAAAATAAGATTATTTTCAGTATTATCATAAATATCGAAGAATGCGTTCCGATGAGATACTTGTTTGAGATTGTGGCTGATTTAAGAACGAACCGTCTCGGCGTCATATTAAGGATATTCAATACATACAGGGACTACAGTAGAGTGATTATCCGCTGATTCATAGGTATTGTTGTACAAATCGTTTAAGTACAAAGACTTTGCATTAAGTACAATAGGATAAATTGATTTTTAACATTTGATAGAGAAGGAAATAAGGTCATGGCTATGACAATGAGCTTCATGACCATGATTTTTACAACTGGCAATCTATTAGTATATATGTCCTCAGGAAATCGACACTGCGATTCTGTTTTCTCACAGCATTGTAGCTTCAAGAGTCCATCAAACGCCGAAAGCTTTAAAACAAGAAATTTACATCGGTTATCACTGAAAAGTAGAATGGGTGTTGTTAAATATTTTTCTTATTTTAAATTGTTTGACTATTTCTAATTCATTTTTGCATTCTTCCAGTTCAATTTTTTTCCCAGACTTAAAAAAAAAGTTAAAATAAAAACTTACTGACCCAGATTTATTTTGTCTTGTTTTTTGAACAATTATACATGTTGACGGCTTTCGTCGCAAAGAATAGTAATTAAACAAGAATAAAAAAGTTATTATTGTTTAATCAGCTGTTGAAAACTGTTGTATCGTATTTTAGGTTTTTGTTCATTGGTGTGGTATTTGGTGAAGCTGTCAGTTTGTGTGTACCCACATTATTATCATGTAATTGTAGACGTATCTCTTTTTAAGATTTTTTCTCCTCCTCTGCTTTTGTCAAGGGTTTCAAAAAGCCGACAAAGGAAAACTGTAATGAAACAATTTTATTAATGGTTTCTTCACCCAGTCATTTGATATTTTATGTTTTTTTTATTTTGATCGACATCGAAGTTCAACTAATAAGGTTTTTATAAGACAGACGATCCTCCAATTTGTAGTCACGATGTGAGATTCGTCTTGTATTTGTGCGACGATTTGTTTAAGCAATAAACGATAGCTGAAAGCGGTTTATGGCGAAATAAAACGCGCGGGATGGTTGGGAGAACACGAGAAAAGATCAGTAAATCACGAGCCGTCGAGATTATTTCGGTTTATTTCGCCAGTAAACCGCTTCAAGCTATTGTTTATTGCTTTTATATTATAGCCGGCGTCCACCATTTAGACTCAAAAGTCTTTCCAGACAGCAGCCTGGTTTACCGGCGAAATCCCCATCGCTTTTCTCATGAAATCCGCCAATCAGCGTGCGTGTTAGAATTGAGCTATAATTTCTGTTTTTCTTTCTTTAATATTTTCTGGATTAAACGAGAGTAGCGTTTTACTGAACCGTACATTGATTGTAGGCGACAGATGTCTAGCATTTCAATATGTCTTTCTTGTGCTCTCTTTCTTGTGCTCTTGTCTCTTGACTTTCTTAACGGCTTTATTGTTCCAACATCCCTAATGTTGTACGTTCGCTGATACATGTTTCCGGATTAATAACTTTGTGGTTTCGAATTCATATCATATATAGACCATCTTTTCCTCTTCCCTTTTTTTCCTTTCCTTTCTATCTCTTTTTATTATCGTTCACCTTTTTCGAATCTGGTTTGTTTGTGATTCACATTTTTTAGTATTTTAGTTATATCTTACCTCACAAGCTATTTCATCGTATTTTACAGCACTTTTTGGATTATGAACATTTTTATGTTTGATCTCCTTAAATTTTACTTCTAATCTAAAGTACAAAGGACATAAGAAAGAAGTTATCCGGTGAAAGTCAATTACATTATTAGAGATTTCATTTCGCGACTTCAAATCGAGAAAAAACATTCATGTGTCAGTTATTATTTTGTCAATRGCTGCTCAACAAGAGTCGGAAAAACTGCAAAATCTGTTTGGATCACTTGAAGGTAAAAAGCTAAAAAGCTAATATCAAACAATGAAGATTTTCATCTAAAACAAAATATTTAATTTTCACAGTTTTCTCTTTGTTTTCGTGAAAAAATGTCTCGCTAATAATAATATTGAAAAGTTTTAGACTCAAAATGTCATTGCTTTTACAACAATGTCAAATATTTAGATATCTATTGAAATGTAATAGAGGAACATTAGAACTTGCTCTATGAATTACCTCGTCAGATATCAAAATTATCCAAACATAAAACATTCTTCGTAAGTAGGGAAGTGCTCAAAGAATCTTCAAATTAATTTTTTTTTATTTTTGTCATGAAATACACCGGGATCGCTGAGAATATGTTTTTTTAGTCTAAATTGTTGTACAGTATTTGCATCGTTTTTCGGTCTTTTCCTCTAATTTACTTAATTATGYCTTTAGATGAGCGTGCACGAGGAGGAGAAATACCAGTAAAAAGTAATTGTGATTAGGCGAAGACCAGGCTGATTTAAAGTAACTATGGTGTTAGGCACTGACCTGCCAAAAAAAACCAGTTAGTAATACGAAATGAAGGCCTAAATACGAGAATTACAAGGCTGGGCGTCATAGTAGGCGTGAAAACATGAAAATTTCAATATTATCAGATTTTATCATTACAACAGAACAAAAACAAGCTATTTCCCGCAGTTTGTTTGGAGTTATTTCGACGTGTGCTGTATAGAGTTGTGAGTTTATCTTGTTTGCATTATAAACTAACCAAAACCGAAACAAATCTCATTAATGAAGACTGCTGCTTAGAAATACACAAGTTCCCCAAGATAATGCTTTATTTTACTGACAAGCCATAGTGAGTTGATTGCTAAAGATTCCTTTTCTCGATAAGGAGTGTTTACCAGTGAAAGAAATCCCCCTCGAAGACCAATGATGATTATTTTTAATTTAAAGAACAAATATTCTTAATGAAAAACATTTTTTAGCCGGAAATTGTTGAATTATTCTATGTACAATCAGTGTTGTTCATTTCGAATGCMTATCTAACGAATGATAGCGTTTCAATCCAATAATAAACCAGTAGAATAAATCTCAGTGTTATTTCAGTGRCAGTCCAAACAAAGTCGTCCGGCAACAGATCAAGGTCCAATGTTAATATTCATGTTTATAATGAAGAAAGTGTCAACAATAGAGGCACTGCGAGTAGATAAGCACAGCTGAAAGCAACAAAGGTCACTTTGAAACAAAACTGTTCAWATWAAGCGCAACAGAGCAAGAATTTATGTTGACAACTCAAAACTGCTAGAAGGTGTGCTTCTGCGTGCTGTAGGAACAAAGAAACCAAAGACGTGCATGGGTAGAATATCGGTAGTAACATTTCCATAAATCCTGAACGCTATCTTAGTTACTTTGAGCGGCATCTGTCAATCAACATTCAGATTCATAAGCCGCCTTCTTTTGAAAAGCATCGGYGGTTCAATTCTACAYTCTTTTTGGTRGATCTTGACAGTACGGCGGGTAAGTAAGAAGGCGTTTTTTTCTTTTTCATATATTTTAAATGATTCTACTATGAGTTTCATTGTACAAACTTTTTATTGTTTAGTTAAGGTACTACTTATATTTATTCAAACAAGTGAAATTTTGCAATGTTGTTTTAAAAACAAAGCCAAAGAAATAAGTAGTTTAGGATTTTTAAGCTGAACCGTTTTTATAAGCCTCAGTGTGGGAATGGTGGTCATGATGCTAGAAGGCTCTCGCTAAAATAGTCAGATAGTTATCAAGTCATGGCGTACAAAAAATAGCATTTCGCCTTCTTTCGTATGTACTAAAAAATATGAAGAATTAAAACGGCATTTTTTTTAAGTTTATATTTCATGAATACAACAACAAGCTAAATTTAAGATTGATTTACATAATACATTATAACCGGAATATTTGAGTCTTGGACTTTTTGTACGTGAATATGAGTAAAAGAATTGACATCCTACATTTTGCTCGAATCATGCATTATCGGTGAGAATTGTATTTACAATAGTAGGAAGAGATAGAGGTTTAAATAAAAAAAAACATCCAAGAAAAAATGACCACAAAGCTCCTATGGCGCCATGTTATTTTCACCCAACATGGCGGATATGCAACAAGAGAGTTACAAACCAATTTTTTTTTACAATTCATTAAGTTTGCACTATCAACTTTGTACTGCTTACAGTTATATTTTAGATCCTAAATGATGTCCACGCATGTTAATTAAATTATTAGTTTTTAATTGTGTTTCTTAGAATTTTCATTTACTGATTGAAATATTTTATTATCTGTTATAACATCGAGAAGTCCATTCAGACGCGCTAAGAAGACACTACAGGGCACGTTTCTAGACCAGAATGTAGAATACGGTTAATAGGCACAATGTAGGTGAATTTTAGGAACACTTTTCGTGTGGCAAGGATCCAACAAAAGAGTACTTTAATTACATTGTAATATGATATTGAGATAGAGCACCAAGTAACGACTAATAAGACTTTTATTGCGCGTAATTACAGGAATTTATTGCCTTTCGACAAAGAATTTCTCAGTAAGCGCGACGTTGTATACACAGGTTAAAAAAAGAATGTTGAACTTAATGTTTTTTATCAACTTCTTTGAAAATTGATAAGTGATATCATATAGTATATCGAAAAATTGTGATAGGCTAGCAAACAACATACATATCATGCAATTAAATAAAAAACAATATTCAATTCAATATTCGAAACATAACTCCGGTTTGTGACGTACCTACCGAGAGGAAAGTATGCCATTGTGATTTCCCGCGTTCGACCTAACGACGTAAAGAAATACTTTCCCTTAGTTTCAGTATCGTGGACATATATCAATGAGTGCCGCCGCAGGCATTGGCTTTGCTGGCCATTATTTCATTTCCTACACCCTGCAATCAGTCAGAACTCATCAAAATGGTCTCTGCTATTGTCAAAATAATTAACGATTTGATCAACGTTCAAGATAATGCTCGCCTTAGGTGAAATAAAGTTAAAAGTGGTAAGATGAATTTCGTCTTTATGTGTGTCACAATTCTCTAACTACCATTAGCTGGTAAATTTTTAAGTAATATATAAAATATGAGCGGGAGACCTTTATGGGCATTTAAAACTGCGAGCTGCGAGCTGCGAGCTGCGAGCTGCGAGCTGCAAGCTTATCAAATTCCAACATAAGGTAAAGCATATTTCGAAAAAAACTTCAGGATAAAATATCATTTGTAAGAGAAAATCGAAGTTAAAGTCGTATGCAAATCAGGACAAATCTCTTGCTCATATAAAGATGCGGTCACGGCAATGATTTTCCATTGTGTTTACCTTATGAATTATGAATGAATTTGATAATGATAAAATCGAGTTTGACCATCAAAGTTGTCATTTAAGTATTTTAGATCAGTTTAAGGATGTTTTTCAATTTTTGCTCATCAGTCTTCGTGTCTTCCTGTGACAATGTCATTTCTATCATTTATTGTTTGATAGAATTACATGTTGCCACTATAGCGAGGTACAGCATTCGCCGCCATCGATCACTCTCCATCTTAGGTGTGCAAGGTGGGGCAGTATGAAATTACCAGGTATTTTATTCCATGTTTTCCTTATAATAGATCACACTGTGTTCCTACACTGTGCATAAGCTGGGTGCACCGACTGCAGTATATTGTCAAAGTTAGTATGGTGTACTTAAGTATATCGTCGAAGTTAGTGTCCAATATCCCTTCAAACGAACACATGTTATTATATTAGGAACCAGAAAGTAACAGCAGACTCGCACGTGATTGGTTAACACTATATTACTAGGATATCAGCTCAAAGAAAAAAACCTAATGGCGAACGTTCAAAGGGTGCGATATCTTGGAGACCTGCCTTTTAAATCAGTTCGTTTCGCTTTTGTAGTCCAACAAGGCGGTAAATCAGAATCATGTAATTTTTGTTTTGCTGTTTTTTGATTAATCCAGTATATAGCACATTTCACATTGAAGCCATAAGCTAAGTGGTTTATGTCACTTTTCTCGGCAAATATTTCAGTGTAATATTATTGGTGTAAATAATTTATTATTATTAATATTATCATTGATCGAGTAATGAACATTTGATCTTTTAAAATTTACAACATATATTGATGTTTATCTCAATTAGATCTTGAATGACTCATCCAGTATCTTTTCAAAACAGATTGGTTTGTTTTTATTATACCCTTGTCCTACTGTAATGAGGTAGAAATTGTTCTTGTTCTCGTTGTTTGTAGTTTGTGTTTATATTTTTTCTGATTAATTCAGTCATCCTTGTCTTGCCAATTCAATGTGTATGTGTTAATTCTATAGGTTTCAATTAAAAAGTCCAGTTGTTTTCCTATAGGTTGTAAGTGCTATAAGCATTTTTGCTAGAGAACAGTTTGTATGATAAGCAAATTATTGTCGAGGTTAAGTGTGATATGAAGAACTATCAGGTGGGCTTTGCTTCTTTTTGACGAAGCTGTATGTAACAGTAGATGGACTGATTTCAAGATAACCGGATCGTATTTTATGAGTTTTTAATTTAAGAAATAGAGGATATTATGTACTTCGAGTATTGAACGAAAAAAAAAAAAAAAAAACCGGAGTGCTGAAGAGATTTTCGATACGAGAAGAAAAAAAATTCGTATTGCCAAGCAGATTTTGTCTTAAATTACTTTTTTTACTTCCAATGCACAGAAAAACAACGAATGTGGTACTTCACTGTGAAAATAACTTTTCAAAAGAGAGAAATACAAGTATTTCATAGATAAATATATGATAAATGAATGTATTTATTCATTATTAAACACACCACGCTTTACGCTGAGAGCAAAATAATATTGTTTCGTTCCTTCCGTGCGGACCAACAAAAAAACTGATTGAAAGCCCCTAACCAATCACAACCGAGTATGTATTTTCGATAAATAATGAATTGGGTTTGACTTATCATAACAAGTTGAATTTATCGGGCAATGAAACTAAGGCCTTGCTCTTTTTTGATGTTTATAATGTCTTAACTACAGATCAGTACTATAGATTCACTTATATGTTAACAAAACTGCCAAGACTCAAGAGTGATCATTTTTGGAAATATAGCGACGAGAGAAAAGATTGGCTTTTAGTCGATTCATGGAGTGTTCGGTATAAATGAAAAACAGTAAAAGAAATAGTCGGCGACAATCTGTCCGTTTTTAGGTATGTAAAGCCATAACGGAGGACAATATTCATGTTTGACATGATAAACGGTATGTTGTACAACATTTTCCACTTTAATTGCAAGTTATTACTGACCATGGCAACATAATATGCCTGTTAGTCAAAACAAAACCTGGAAAATGAAATACCATCAATAGAATACCAGAAAGTGGTAAGACACAAGTAGTGTAACAATAACACCACTAAAAGAAAATATATTCCAGTTTGACTTTTGGTTTGAAAAGTGTGTTTCCCAAATGTATGCCGTTGATTTTGACTGAAAACAGTGTGGATATAGTTAAGCTAGATCAAGGGTTCAATGGAAACAAATTAACATTGAAAAATCGTAATGAAATATGCAGCTCAAATGATATTTCCGATAAATCTTTTAATTTGAAAGCTTCCTGGACTAAAAACTATAATGAGGTTGGCTAAGCACCAACTGAAAGTGTCGACCCAAAAAATAGAAATCCCTTAACAGATGGTTATCTTTTAATGGCTTTTAAATCGTCAAGAGAACATCGTTAATCATGTTTTTTGATATGCTATCGTGCACTATTCATTTACTTTAAGTGACAATATTCATATTTTTGTAGTTTAGTGTATGAATATAGACCATTTTCTCCTTTCATTATTGAATCTCTTTTTTAGTTCTGTAATCAACGCGAATTGAAACACGTTAGACCATAGCATAATAACCACAATGCTACATTCAAATGTATTTTTGTATCAGATTCTATTATCTGTAAAATGCTCCGTAGTCTTTGCTTTTAATCTTAATATTATTAAGTGATGATCCAGAAAACAAAAGCTTTCAAACTCAGACACGAAAAAACTTTATTTTAAATCAACGATAAAGTTAAATATGATGCGATTATAGGCTGTCAATTTCCCCACGCCGAAGATAGATGCTAAAAGCCCATATTAGTTAAAGCCTCTTTCTATTGGTCGATTGTAAGTTAAAGACATTATTGTATCAATTTCGTTATTGTATAGTATAATTTCAATCAGTCCTCTTTGATTTCATATTGTTATCTTTTGTACAAGAAAGTATTATCCATGTTGAAATATACATTGCCCATAGAATACTCTTTATAGACATTTGATATTCTTACACATGTTGCAGTCAGGCAACCGTGAAGTCAATCAACCTGTGAAACAGACACTGATACACCTTACTACGCTCTTCCATTGTTTTCTTTTGTTTCACGGGTTTAATGACCTCACTCTATTACTAATTGAAACGTAATCCAGCATTGAGTCAGTCCGAGTATAGAGATAATTGTGTGGATGTTTCTAACGATTTCCCGTTTGTTTTCAGTCATAGCGATACATTATCTCTACCGATTCCAGTATGACGAACTGCACGTGGAATGCTACAAACTGCAACAACTATTACAGAGATGCCGCCAATCTATGGTTGATGTTCTTTATGTATAATCTACCTTTAATCATACTTGGTGTGCTAACCATCTGTGCAAATGGCATGATATTGATTGTGTATATTCGCACAAGACTGTTAAAAACTGCCACCAATTTCTTCTTGGTAGCCATTGCTTTATCCGATTTCTTGGCGGGGCTGATCGGTATCCCAACATACATCGCTTGTAATGCTACATATGGATACGTCACTCACTTGTGTGAATCACACGCAACGATCTTCGTCTTCACATCATTGTGCACTATCAGCTTTATCGCTGTGATTACCGCTGACCGATACATTGCAATTTTGTACTCGCTAAGATACAATGTATTGATGACGAAACAACGAGCCAAGATAATCATCTTAGTTGCCATGGTGACTGCATTGATATTATCCGTGCTTCCATACTTCTGGGTACGCAGTGGAAAACTCCACAATCCAACAGCCGACCAGAGGCGGGCTGATATAATCTATACTATTTGCATCCTTATCCCCATTGTAGCTGCCTTCCCTTTGATGGTGTACGCCTATTTTAGGATTTTCCTGGAAATACGAAGGCAACATAAACTAACGCAGGAACACGAGAGGCTGAGGGGTGACGAAAGTAGCACAACAGAGAGAGAGATCCGCACTGTTTGCGTCTTCGCCGTGATGATGATTGCTTATGTGTTCTGTTGGACTCCATTGGCGGTTATTAGAGTTAATCTTTTCATCAGCAAATCATTTGGTGTTCTATCACCGATACCTAGATATATCCTACAATCACTTCCTTTCGTGACGTCATTCATCAATCCATGTTGCTACGGACTGGGAAAGAAAGATTTTCGACATGCGTTGTCTCAGTCTTGTAAGTGTGGACGTGTATCATCAAATCAAAGAAGACATGATCCCACAAAAATAACTGTATGTTGAATGACACTATCAGTACGTCAGATGAAAAAAACTGTCAAAATTAAAAGATAACTTAGTGACTTCAACCACAGCCTGATGAAACGCCTTCAGATCCTGCCTCTTGATCAGAAACCAATTAAAGATGATTAGCTGTGACTGTTAAGTTCTAAGTTACGTAAAAGATCGTATACATGTGATTGTATATAACTCAAGAACACCCGTATGCGAGTTATATCAGAAATAAACTATATGGCATTAATCATATAACGCAAGAGAAAACGCGTGTCACATAATCAAGAAACACCCTTTAACGTTCGTAAAGAAATAACAGTTTTGGTGACTAAAAAAAACAACAAACAAACAAGAATTATCGGCGTCGAAGATCTTAAGAATAACGCATGTCTTATCAGTAAATAGAGGCCGAACAAAAAGAAAAAAAAAACGTATAGGACACTAGAGATCCCTACGTCATAGCTACTCTGTATTTAGGAATTATAGATGCGACTGTTAATTTGTCTGATTTCACTAAATCATTAATGCTAGCCCAACTTCACGCTCTAAGAGCGTCTAGTTATTATAAAATCTAACTCTTACGTAGATGCTTCAACACTTAAACAGTGGAATTATTATGGAGCCAAAATTTAAGTTTGCGAGACATCGTGTGATAGAGCAGGGAGCCCAATTCTTGCCATGTATGGAATCATGAATAAGTTTAGAGTATATGATTGATATCATTAATACATCTGAATGCAACACAACACGACACGATAACAACACGCTGCAAATTAATTCATTTCCTCACAGTCACGTGATCTTGTGCTGCAATCATTCAAAGTTATATCCTGAATTAAGGCATCCTTTAGTGCAGACCTTCCCTAAATATATACAGATCATTGTGAACTTGTGACGGCTCACGATTTTTACAATCAGTAATGAAATGGTAATATATCGTATTCAGTTGTTTCGTTTCCTTTCGAGAGAAATGAAATAGCGCGAGTTAAAAATACTGAGAGGGAAAATAAATATGTCTATCACGTGATTGCATCACTACCAATGAAAACAGAACAAATGACATTATGTGACGTCATAACTAATACTAAACTGGCCTTGAGAGCGGTGCAAGTGTACAAAGGTGTATTCAACTCGAAGCCCGTGACAATGTATGTTCTCTTGGCTCTAAATACCGGTAAGTTTTCTTCATGTCAGAGCTGATTTTAACGGTCTAGTTTGCACTTAATCGGACTAATCGACCCTACAAAAATGCGTTTTTCCATTCTATTTGAATTTTGGGACGGTTTAGGCTTCGTCGTCCCAGTTTCTGTTCTTAACATACAAATCGTGTTTTATGGAGGTGGTTTGTCGGAAGCCCTATTGGATAGTTGAGAGTTTTAACCGTTGTTTTTTTATGGGACTGGTTGGGTTGGGTTCGAAGGGCAAGTCACAAAAAACCAATGGTTGTAAAATGAATTTGTTCATTTGATTCAAATGTTTTTTTCTTTTTCAGTGCTGGTTTTGTACTTGATGAAAGATCACTGCATAACTGCTACAAGTAAGAGCTATTTATTATTAATGTTTAGTATGAATTACAATATCAACTGCTTTGTGGATAATAAGTGGGTTTTGCTTCTTACAGCTTGCACGAAGGATGTTGTTGTCAATGTAACGGCTACTCTCAAGCCTGGCTGGAAATACGAGATCCAAAGTCCAGGTTTTCCAAGCAATTACCAACCCAACCAAACTTGTACTTGGAAAGTGTTTTTCCCTGAATATGTGCAAGAGCTGCACGAAGATTATGGAATGATGTTGGTGTTCGACGCATTGGAAATAGAACCTTGTAGTGACTGTACTTGTGATTGGTTGGGGGATTCTGATGAGAACAATTACTCTAGTAAAAAATGCAAACTGTACTCCAAAAATGCCATTGCCACTCTAAAAACTGGCTTAGATAGCATCTATTCAATGTCAAGGGAATTTTGGCTACGATTTCATTCAGATGATTCTTCCGAATTCAGAGGTTTCAAAGGAACAATAACGGTAGTGAATTATGCAAGGGGATCCCGATCTTGTTTGCGTTCCAACAATATCATCAACGAAACAAGCGGAACCATTTCCAGCCCCAAGTATCCATTAAAATACATGCCAAGCCAGGAAATCACGTGGTGCCTCGTTGTTCCAAAAGGATTTCGAGTCAAACTCACCTTTAAGGCTTTTGATCTGGAGAATACTCGTACCAGTGATAACGACTKCAGCAAGGACTACGTGGAAATAAGAGATGGGAAGCTTGCGCGGTTCGGTGAGTTGCTTGGTCGGTTCTGTGGTAGTACCATTCCAGGCGAGATCTTCTCCTTATCCAATCAGATGTATGTATTGTTCGTGAGTGACAGCAATACAACCACCGTCTACAAGGGCTTTAAAGCGAACTTTGGAAACATTTTGGGGAATGGTCAGTACAACAGCCTCACTCCTATGCAGGGAACGTTTCATCTCATCTGTTAATATTGATTTTATATTCCTCATATTTGTTTCTTTTTTTACCAATTTACAGGTGATATTCAAGTCAAGCCTTCCTTCACGTATTCTGTTTTAGTGATGGTGGTTGTGATCATGAAGAAACTCCTTTAGTCTCCAGTTGACAATCATGATGTAGATTAACTATATAATGAAATTAAATGGCTTAAGTATTAGTTGTTTACAGTCAAAAGACATGAAGCTCAAAAAAACTAGCATCCGAGGCGATATCATTAAAGTTAAAGATAGTTTAAAAAAGTTTTAGGTCTAAGATAGGGTGTGGGGTTTGAGATCCTTGCGGCACACCCTTACCCAAGTTGGGGTGGTAGTCGCCCCCCCGGATTTAGGAATTATACATGCTTATTAGATCCATATTGTTGCTCATAGAACTGGGCAATCTGAGAGTGTTTAGTTGGGCTAGACTTGCAATTAACATCAAATAATGTACATCAACGCGATCATTGTTAGTATGAAACCTAGTAGTTATCTTTATACATTTGACCTCTTCATCACGTGTTTTAGGGCTTCCTGTGCAATCGGAAATCAAAAAATATTTAATAGCAACAGCAATACATCTCCCTCCTGAGATCTGTATCCTTCAATACTTTCCTTATTTTGTATCGTTATGGTAATAACTATTTTGGGTTCACCCCCTCCTGAGAGCCCTGCACTTCCCCCTGAGGAAAATCCTTGATCCGCCCCTGTCAAGATTTCCTGACATCCCGAGCATATCAAAGCACGATTTCGCGCTCTATATTAGAGCGTTTAGTTCATTCCATTTTAAGTTGTTTCATATTTAGTGTTTACGACCGGTAAAAAAAGTCTCTCATACATAGTTGTGTCATTGTCAGAATCTAGTTTCACTACACATTCGATAGAAGATAAAAAAAAATGATTTTGATTCATATGCAGTAGTTTTAATACAACACAGGAAACCCAATGCTGCATCTGAACTTGTATAAGTAAAACACAATAAGAAAACTTGAGGCTTTGCTTTTCTTACACCCCTACTCTTGGGCTTCCTGTGTCATTCTCAAACGCGACATAATAAATAGTTTGTCGAAAAAATAAAACTGCAGTTGTCCTACAATATAGCTACCACGACTTACCATGACTAGTTGATCAGTTTAGACTCTTCTTAAGTCCCTCACTCGTACGTATGCTATTCAAATGTGGAATAGTCTCCTTCACGGTTCCCTTCGCCATCTTGAAAGATAGCCGTGCCTTTGCATCGAAGCGAGACGACCGTTGAGCGTGCAATGATAGAAAGCTTCTTTCACGCCTGCAGACAAATATTCACAGGTTTCTATCATTGCAAGCGGATTTCGTATGAGTGGGAAACGGACAGTTCTGTACTGTGACCGTAATCGTACTGTAACCAAATTCTAGTGTCCCATTGGTTCACCAAAATTGTGCAGGCCAGGTGCGGTAACTGTGCGGTAACCGTGCGGTAACGGTGTCCCACTCATACGAAATCCGCTCTAATAATCTTTGTTAGCGCGATTTTAGTCGAAGAATCCAGAAGAGCATTGCTCGTGCTTGTTTTAAAAAAAAAAAAAAAAAAAAAAAAACACAATCACAAAGAATTGAAAGAAACGTCAATGAATTTTACTAAAACGATGTTATATATTAAGCTCAAGCTCAAAAATTATACTCGCGCAGAAGTACATAACTTTCTAGAAGAGAACCAGTCTAATCCATGTACCACGGCAGATCAAAAGTAGACTGCGTGCAACCGAACCACAACTGTTTTTATAATCAATCCAATAACGTTTGAGAGTTGTAAAGATCTAAAGATAACAACACAGTCATTTTCATATATCATATTTTAATTTCTTTGCAAAACTATTGAACAGTAAAGATCCAAAACTTCTTTACATTTATCTAAAGTTTATAATTACAAAACTTTCCTGAGAATATTAAAAACCTTTTTATGCAAATGAATTTGCTGCTGTCATTATGTGAAAAACCGCCTTTTGCCTCAGTTCTCACACACAAAGGAATCAAGACGATGCGACTTGCATAAAACTCAGTCATTCGTGGAAAGAAAACAGTTTTTCACGATTGACTGAGCTTTATGCACGGCGCCTCGTCTTGATTCTTTTGTGTTTGACTACTGACATGTACTGAGGCGAAATTCGCAAATCGGCTATTGGATCAGTTACTTTATGGTCGTCTGCGAATCAGCGACAAACATAGTGACAGCCAATAAAAGCGAAGTTCGCTACACGAACCACAATCTTCGTCGCTGATTGAGATTTCCAACTGTTATTGAATTTTTCGTTTTTCTTTATAAGACTTTCGCAGAAAAGCCGACAAGTGCTGAGCTTGGGCTACCTGTGGATTCCTTGACCATGCAATCAGTTTGAGTTACCAAAAATCCGCCACTGATTGATTGGTCTGATGGCTTGGAATAGGCCTTTTGCATGAAACGGTCACATGGTACAAAATCCGACATACTGGATGGCAAAAGAATGTAAACAACCTCAAAAACAAAAGGAACGCAGCCCGTCAAGCTTGACTTTTCTTTGTTTTGAAAATCCCAGTGGGTATTTTGCCATCCAGTATGTTGGATTTTGTACCATGTGACCGTTTCATGCAAATGGCCTATTGTATCCCCAAAACTGGAGCGACGTTCATAAGATTCAAAGTCGCCATTCTTAACAAACAGATCGTATTTATATTCAGATATTGCGGATAGGAACTGCTCCATTGGATTGTTGCGATTTTTAATAGTTATTTTTTATGGGGATGCATAGGTTGGGTTCGAAATGTAGTTTTTTCATTCGACTCAAACTGTAAATTTTTCCCGTAGTGCTGGTTTTGTGCTTGGTGAAAGATCACTATACAACTGTTGCAGGTAAGAGCTATTTATTAATACTGTTAAGTTCAGTGATATCGAAGTATGAATTACAATTACTTGAGTTTTGGATAATATCGGGTTTGCTTCCTCCAGGTTGTGCAAAGAATGCTGTCAATGTAACGGCTTCTCTCGAACCTGGCTGGAAGTACGAGATCCAAAGTCCACGTTTTCCAAGCAATTACCAACCCAACCAAACTTGTACTTGGAGAGTGTTTTCCCTGAATATGTACAAGAGCTGCACAAACATTACAGAATGAAGTTGGTGTTCGACGCATTGGAAATAGAGCCTTGTAGTAACTGTGCTTGTGATTGGTTGGCTTATTCAAACAGCGAAAGTAATTTACCAACAACCCTTAAGAACTATTATTATAAAATATGTGCATTTTACTCCAAAAATGCCATTGCAATTTTAAAGGAAACTAACAAATACAGCAAAATTCTTTTCTTTTTATGGTTAAGTGAAAGGGGATTTTGGCTACAATTTCGTTCAGATGGTTCTTCTGAATTCAAAGGTTTCAAAGGTAAAATAACGGTAATGAATACAAGAGGATCCAGTTATTGTTTGGATTCCAACAACATCATCAACGAAACAAGCGGAAGTATTTCCAGCCCCAAGTACCCATTAGTGTACTTGCCAAACCAGGAAATGACGTGGTGCCTCGTTGTTCCCAAAGGATATCGAGTCAAACTCACCTTTAAGGCTTTTGATCTGGAGAATACTCGTACCAGTGATAACGACTGCAGCAAGGACTACGTGGAAATAAGAGATGGAAAGCTCGGGTCGGACGGTGAGTTGCTTGGTCGGTTCTGTGGTAATACCATTCCAGGCGAAATCTTCTCCTTATCCAATCAGATGTATGTATTGTTCGTGAGTGACAGCAATACAACCAGCGTCTACAAGGGCTTCAAAGCGAACTTTGAGATGGATGGTAACCATGGTAACCATCGGTCCCATGCTCCCTCCCATGCAGGTAACTTTGCATCTACAAATATCAAATAAGGACGAGATAATTCTCAATATTCATCCCTCAGTGATTCCTCATATTTCCTTTTTACCAAGTTTCAGGTGATATTCAAGTCAAGCCTTCCTTCACATATTCTGCTTTAGTGATGGTGGTTGTGATCGTGAAGAAACTCCTTTATTAAGAACATTGTCTAGTCTCTAGTGAACAATCATTATATAGATTAACTATGAATTAAAAAACAATGGCTAAAACATTATTAGTTTAGATATAAGAACTACGAAAACTGCCATTTTTAGTAAACCCGTAAATATGACAAAACAAAGATACCCTGTAAGGCAAGAAAACCTTATTAGCTTCTAACAGATCTGTGATATTTACTCATGATGGCGTCAAATATACATGTATAGCTGGTAGCTAGCGCATCTTTACTTCCAAATAGTCTCTATTAAACTCAAAGACTTAATCAATCATTCATCAAGCTTTCCTGTAGAATAAAGAATTGAAAAGAATGGGGCTAAAGCTCAAGGATGACGCCACATCACGTGATGTAATTTTTTTATGAATTCAAGAAGATAAGAATGAATTGATTCATTTGCTCAGTCACGTGATCTTGTGCTGCCAATCATCCACATTTATGCTCAATGAAATAAGAAGTAATTGGTGAAAAATAATAATAAATAAATAAAGAGCAGAATCTAGACCTTTTGACAATGTCTGGAACGTTTTGAAATGAAAGTGAAGATATATCGACAGTTTCAGTAAAAGAAAAGATTGAGTACTGAGGCACTAAGTCTGAGGAGTGAAAGATTTGGACAGCTTATGACTTGCGTGAATAAAGTCGAAATAGCTTGACAGCTCAGTGATTTCATTTGAAATAAAAACGAAAGCATCCATGATCAAAGAATTACACGAAAAGCTCAATCAATCCCTGGCATCATTTTTTGCGTTGCCTATAGTGAGTTATACTTTTTACTGAATTAGGTTATCTTTAGCTGTATCCACGTGACTCTAGAAATCTGCATGTAACTCAAAAAAACCTGAATCCGAAGAAAATAAACGTATAGGAAGCGGTGGTCTGTTAATCTGTCTGATTTCATTAAATCCTTATTGTTATTATCAATAGTCACTCGTACGTAGGTGCTTCAACTTGAACTGTGGACTTATCGAAAAGGATTATGGGCCCAAAATTTAAGTTTGCGAGAGATCGTGTGATAAAGCAGGGAGCCCAATTCTTGTAATGTATGGAATCATGTGAATAAGTTTAGAGAATATGATTGATATCATTAAAACATCTGAATGTAACACGAAACAACACGATAACAACACGCTGCAAATTTATTAACTTGCTCATAGTCACGTGATCTTGTGCTGTCAATCAATTTATGTCCTGAATTAGGTTATCCTTTGGTGCAGACCTCCCCTAAATATATACAGATCATTGTGGACTTGTGACGGATCACTGTTTTTTTCAATCAGTATGAAACGAAATAGTAATATATCGTTTTCAGTTTTTTCGTTTCCTTCCAAGAGAAATGAAAATAGCGTGAGTTAAAAATACTGAGAGGGAAACTAAATATGTCTATCACGTGATCGCATCACTACCAATGAAAACAGTAAAAATGACATATTATATGACGTCATAACTAATACTAAACAGCCCAGTTTAAGGGCGGTGTAAGTGTACAAAGGTGTATTCAACTCGAAGCCCGTGACAATGTATGTTCTCTTGGCTCTAAATACCGGTAAGTTTTCTTCATGTCAGAGCTGATTTTCACGGTCTGGTGTGCACATAATCGTACTAATCGTCCTAAACCCCTTTTTGTTATTCTATTTGCAACAAGGGAATTAACAACAATGCAAAAGGCATTTTGGGACGATTATATGGTCACCAGACTTCATCATTGATATTCTTAATGATACCTAATCCAGTTTTGCGCTGCTCTGGTCGAGTTGGCTATCATCCATGTACGACGAGATTGAGTGGAATAACTGTTTTATTATACAATCACTTGATCATGAGGAAATACCGCTTGTTCATAAAAAGGTATAAGTTTTTTGGCAAAACAAGTTTCACCGTGTGTAAAATTTCATTTCAACAACAAACCAACAAAATTGCTTGAAAAATACCATGATTTTCGTAATATAGTATTTATAATGCTCTTTCCTTCAAACAGGTTTAAGCTTATTGCATTTTTGATAGACTCGGCTATTTCTGTTTATTTCAATTGAAAACTGTAAGTTATTAGTGGTCGATTAGTGTTGATTGCTGCTTTTAGTTCAAAACAATGGGTCTTTTATAGAACTGTTGTCATTAGCCAATCGGATTGACTCGCCACATGATCGATTGGTCTAATGAGTGTTGGTAGGGGTTAGTAGAAGGGTATGCCACAAAATAGCAGCGCTTATAAGATTCTTAGTTTCGCATTGTCTTTAAGTTCTGTAGCCTGTGATACATCCGGCAGCGTTGAAATTATGTGAAAGAGGTTTAGGGTTCCGCGGTCGTTCCAACAGATCGTATTTTTATTGATATGATGAATTGGAACTGCCCCATTGAACAGTTTGGATTTAGGTGTTTTCATGGGGATGGAACGGCCGTAAAATGTATTTTTTACTTTTTTCCCTCAGTGCTGGTTTTGTACTTGGTGAAAGATCACTGTATAACTGCTGCAAGTAAGAGCTATTTATTCAGTAATATCGAAGTATTTATAATAATATTTTAAGTGCTTCAGTTTTGGATAATATGGGATTTGCTTATTCCAGGTTGTCCAAAGGATGCTGTCAAAGTAGCGGCTACACTTAAACCTGGCTGGAAATACGAGATACAAAGTCCAGGTTTTCCAAGCAATTATGAACTCAACCAAACTTGTACTTGGAAAGTATTTTTTCCTGACTCTATGGGGAAGCTGCGCAGTAGTTATAGGATGATGTTGGTGTTCGACGCCTTGGAAATAGAGCCTTGTACAGGCTGTGCTTGTGATTGGTTGGCCTATAATTACATCAAAAGTTATTTACCAACATCCTCTTATAAAAAATGCGGATTGTACTCCAAAAACGCCATTGCCAAACTAAAGGAAAAAGTATCAAGCAAAATTCCCATCGATTCAGATTACAATGAAGAATTGCGGCTACAATTTCATTCAGATGGTTCTTCCGAATTCAAAGGTTTCAAAGGAAAAATAACGGTTGTAAACGGATTGGGATCTAGTTGTTTGGATTCCAACAACATCATCAACGAAACAAGCGGAACCATTTCCAGCCCCAAGTACCCATTAAAATACATGCCAAACCAGTTTATGACGTGGTGCCTCATTGTTCCCAAAGGATCTCGAGTCAAACTCACCTTTAAGGCTTTTGATCTGGATCATGGCCGTACCAGTGATAACGACTGCAACAATGATTACGTGGAAATAAGAGATGGAAAGCTCGGGCGGGCCGGTGAGTTGCTTGGTCGGTTCTGTGGTAATACCATTCCTGGCGAGATCTTCTCCATATCCAATCAGATGTATGTATTGTTCGTGAGTGATTACAATCCAAAAACCGTTTACAAGGGCTTCAAAGCGAACTTCCAGATGAATGGTAACTATCACTCAGTGGCGGATCCAGGATTTTTCAAAACGGGGTCCAGATTTTAGAGATTTTCCATTTCTTTACTTTTAAGATATGAGCACCGTTCGTTTAAATGCAGGTTATAAAACCCGTTTTCTAACCCTGAATCCGTCTCTGTATATGCAATTAACTTTTAAGGACAAGGCATTTCTCAACATTTATCCCTATCATTTCCTTTTTACCAAGTTTCAGGTGATATTCAAGTCAAGCCTTCCTTCACATATTCTGCTTTAGTGATGGTGGTTGTGGTCGCGAAGAAACTCCTTTATTAAGAACTGTCTAGTCTCTAGTTGACAATCATGATATAGATTAACTATGGATTAAGATACAATGGCTGAAATATTATTAGTTTAGATATAAAAACGACAATTGATATAAATATTTTTAGGATTAGAAAATCACCACTTTTATTTTACTGTCCTAGTTTCAGTGTCCTTGGGACTCTTGTGGACTTAATTATGATATAGATTAACTATAAAATGAAACACAATGGCTGAACAATCATTAGTTTAGATATAAGGAGGAAAAATGATGACATAAAAATAGTATAAGACAAGAAAATCACTACTTATTTTAAATTCATTTTATTTCAAATCACTGCTTTATTTTAAGATTAGAAAAACCATGTGTATTATTGGTAAAGCACGTAAAAACCATGTGTCTTATTAGTAAAGCACGTAAATATTACCAAAAAAGAGAGATCCTTCTTAGCTTCTATGCAGATCTGTGATATTCAAATTCGCTCATGATTGCGTTAAAACTGAATATATGCTTATCATATAAACTGAAATGCGTTCGCGCACTCGTGAGATATCAATGGAAGATGCGTGTCTGCGCGTGTCAATATCCTGTATATAGTTTGCAGCTAGCGCATAATGCCATCTTCACGTTCAATAGTGTGTACATCTCTTATTTTGTAAACCCTTCTTATTATTGTTTATAGACTTAATAGCAATCATTCATCCACAATCCCTTGCTGACCTCACTGTTAAGCTGCTCTCCTAAAAAAATTTATGTGAGCAAAAATTAAATGTGGCGACATACCACGTGATGTTTGTATGAATTCAAGAACAAAGTAGGTTTAAATTATCATCGAAACGYGTGACTTTGTGAAGGCAAACTGGATAAAACTGAAAGGTTACAGCAAGACCTTTTTTCATTACCTTGCTATAAGTCACGTAGAGTACTGCTGTCCTTAATAATTTTTATAATAAAAATATAATAATTTAATAGATTTTGAAAAGAAATCAAATTCATTTTCTCTCCCCTTATAACCTGATAACCTTTTTTTGGGTACCTGTTTTGTGCTTTTGTGCTGTTTTTTTTTGCAGCGCGATTGTCACGCGACAATCGCCATTTTGTTCTCGCGCACCTCAAATCGTACGTGTAAACAGACCTACGATTGTCGTGACGATCCAAAATCGCCGAGAGCATGTTCGAAACTCAGGATATTATCGCGCAACAATAGAGAGTTTTAGATACGCGTTTACGGCGAACTCCAAACGTCAATACTGATCACGTGATCACTGTTTTTCTGTATTGACGCCCCGTCCTTTCGCGATTGTGTATAAAATAGATCCTGCATAAGCGCATCACTATTCCTTTCGAAGGGTTTTTACGTTTTTTTGAAACTTTGAGACAAAGCATAAAAGCCAATTTGACGCTTGGCGTTTGCAGTAACCGTGAATTTAAAACTCTCTAATCGCGCTTCAAAAACCGCAAGTGTAAACGGGACTTAATAGAATCTTTGCTGAGTCTCACTAGCGCAAATGAATGCAAAGCAAGGACAATGCGAAAAGATGGTTTAACAATTATAATTTGTTGATGTGCAATAAAATTTGTAAAATGTTCGCACTGTAAAGACATTCACAGACAAATCGCATATATGACCATATATAGACTAATATTGCTGTTGTTGTCTTGATTCTTTTACATTTATCCTTCTTTATAATTTACCACTGATTTTGTAATAAAACATTTTTGTAACCATAAAAGAATTGAAATCCGCAATATTTCCGTACCGCGACCAGCGACATTTCTAGACTTTCCCGCTGTATTTCCTTGATGACAAATCAAAATGTCAAATATTGGCAGATAATGTTTTTGCGACTTTGTAGAGACCGCTTTCTTTGATGTCTTTGAGCGTCTCACGAATATTCATATCTAGACGGTGTTTACAGTATTTACTGCTACAGGGTGACAGGCTACTTCATGATCGACTTTTTACATTTTCAAAACTTTTCGGCCGCTGAATTCTTGTATTATTTCCAGCAATTTCACATAAAAAACGTGACATAATATGTTGATAGATACATAGTTATCAAAAAGGTAAATCTAAAAGTCGATCAACCCTATGTGTAGCTCCACTAATTCAATCAATCAGCGTAGACTCTATGGGAAAACATCACATTAAAAACAGGGAACCCAATTCTTGGAATGTGACAATTTGCAGCTTTGTGAATTCAAGTAAATGATTGATATCATCAAAACATCTGAATGCAACACGAAGACTGGGCTGAATTTAAAGAACATAAGAATACGCTGCAGATTTATTCATTTGCTCAGTCACGTGACCTTGTGCCTTCAATCATCCACAGGTATGTAAAAATTACGAAATAATGCCGTGAAATGAAATGACTGAATAATA